GGGAAAATAGAAGAAAAAAAGGCCTAGGACGAGGTCTTTGTAAAAATAACTCAATAGAAAAGTTTTATTAGTAAAATAACTTTTTAAAAATTTTTATTTGTAAAATGACCACTTTTTACAAAGAATGATTAGGTGGTCGTTCTTCATAAAAAATGAAGAAGGTCATTTTGTTAATTTCACTTTGTTGGATAGTCATTCTAGCATATTTCTCGCCTAGGATCTAACTTCCTGTTTCTTTAATTCTGTAATTTCTTAGTACCTAAAACGGAAGTTACTAATTCCCACTATGCTTCCAGGCCAGTATAATTGTAAATTCCATCGATAAAAGTACTCCCAACTTTCCAATTTCTTGCTATGACACATTATCTAGAACTAGCCAAAAGGCATACTTTTCTATAAAAGAGATGGCAAAATATATGAAAAAACATACCCCAAAAAAAAAAACGAACAAAAAAAAAAAAACGAACCGTTTGTTGGAAGACAATACAAGACCATTACCATCAGAACCAATCCCTTTCATCTCTCTTGTCGATCGTTTACTTCCCGCAACCATCCCATTATAACTAGGAGAAAAATCCGATTCTGTTCCTCCTCTCTCCACAACCTGCAAACAATTTCAACAAGACAAGAACCAACAGACACCCACATTAAGTAAAATTTATCCGAGTACGACCCAGATAATGATTCGAAAAATTATTCAAGAAAAAAGGAAACTTGGCTCATAATTGGATGAAAATCGAGCTGAAATAAAACAGCACCAATAATCACCAAAGCGAAACACAACCTAAAACAACAAAATGTCCCAAAATTTCTGCTTTTATCTTTTTATTCCTTTTCCGATTCCATGGATTCCTTCCGGTTATCAAATAATCGCCAATTTTCGGAACAAAGAGAAAAATCATCACAATACCAAGCAACTAAAAGTCAGAAGCTGAGAAAGTAAGTGAGTACCTGACCAGTGCGACCGAGAGTAATTGTGACCCGAGGATTCGACATCTCCGAACCGAAAACCAAAAGCCTCAAATAAACCAATTATTTTTACGCGTTAGATATTGGCCGGGAAAACGAGATCGATTCGCTGCAGTGCCATCTTTCATGAAATTTGCAGAAGAAGAAGATGATGATGATGAAATGGGACTTGTGGCGATGAAAATGGAGATGTATTCGGTTCCTTGCTTTGCGGGGTCTGATCGGACTTTTACAGCTTAGACCGGTCAAGTCAATTGAACTGGGCCGGTTCACAGCTCCATTTGGATTGGAAAGTCCACTGAATGCAGGGCCTTGTGTTGCAACTCTCTCATCTTGGACTGAGAACTTCCGCTCACAAGTTTAAGTTGCAACCTTTTCTTTTACTTCTAGTAAGATTGGGGTTCTCTCACCTTAAAATTGACTTTATTTTCTATTATGTTTTGGCATCTTTAAATGGCTCAAATTGTCTTTTTCATTATACAATGAAAAAGAAAAAAAATAAAAAAATATTATTGATTTATTATTTGTGTGGTTATCGAAATTAGAAACAATTCAAGTTTCCTTGCGAAGTTTTAAGAAAAGGGATCTTAACATGAGAGAAGATAATGACGAGGGCTCGGCCCTGCTCTTAAATGGGATACAACCCCAAGTAGTTTCGATGTTGGGGCTAACCATTTGTGTTTAAGTATTAAAGTACCCTTGTTTATGTAGCTACTGGACAAATTTAATAAGATTAGGAAAGTGATTTTGTGGTTTATAACCATTTAAAAGTAAAAACCAAGGAAAAACTTACAAGATTTTCCTTCTTTTTTTTTTTTTTCTCATTCCCTACATCTTAATTTTATAAGAAAACACCATGTTCTATCCTCACTCATAATAAGCATGCCCTTAAAACTTTTAAACTCCGTTCCATCTCCCAGTTCAACATAATATCTCTAGTAAAGTAATGTAATCAAGGCATTGTCCCAACAGAGAAACCAAAAGCTCACAAATTGGCAAAGAGGGGGAAGAAAGTGTATCATGGTCATTAAGTTATCTTTTATGGGTATTAAGGGTATGTTTAGTAGTGATTTTTAGAACCCAAAATTAATTATCTAGCCATTCACAGCTAAAATTTGTATTTAGTAAAAACCATAAAAAATGATCCTTAAAGAACGTTCGAAGAATTTACAGTCAAAGTTAAAAGCAACCCAAAAGTAACTTTAGCTTTAATGAAACTTTCATAATACCCATAATACTCTTGGAATCAATACTTGTATAATTACAGTTTACCAAACACTTAACTGCTTTTTGTAATAACTGTTTTTTTTTTTTTTTAACACAACTAACAATAATTAATCTAAAATCTACAACACTACCAAACTAGCCCTAAGTTAATTGGCATCAAGTAGCATCATACTTGATAAATGTATTTTTCCTCTACACGTTACTCATCCGCGAGGTGCCGCGCCTTAACAACGGATTAATGTTTACTGAACTCAGCTTGGCTGTGCTTCTTGCGGGGTAAAGTAAAATGAAGAGGACAAGTGAAACTAGATATGGATTATGGGCAGAGAATGAAATCAGATACGGTTACAGATTATTTTATGAGATATACTTACAACTCATGAGCTTTACTCTCCATTTTTCTTTTTTTCTTTTTTAAACAAGATACACAAGTTTACTGTTAAAACATGTCTGATTACATATTTGCGGTTGATTCTTTGATCTCTTCCAATGTGACGGTCTGCATTGTAAGGAACATATCAGATTCAGGTCATCAACCTAGGCATTATACCATGTACTAACCATGGCGCAAGGCGCAAGCTTAATGGAAAAATCAAAGGTTTGACAACAATTTAAGGGTTTGTGTCACGAAAACTTGTGTTTTTAATTTTGGCTAATAAGTGCCATCAATATTTGCATGAGTGCAAGTACGTTCTTGTGTATTAATTTCTTCCTAGATAATGGAAGGACATTGAACAACTTGACACAGCCACTCGGCATACATGTCGTGTTTCATCAAACATAGAAAAAGAAATATGGTTTAACGTATGTAATCACGGACTGTTGTATGCTTGTATTATGTAAGATAAACTGAAATAACGTGCTACAGAAATTACCTGCTCTTGTCCCGCAAAGTCATTGTCCGGAGTGAGAAAGAGCATGCAGTGGCACTCCTTCCTGCCAAGAAGCCAATCTTACAAGTTTAGCAGAGTTTTATATGAAACGATTAATAAAAAAAGTTCAAACTTCAAATTTAGAAAACAAAAAGGTAAAAAAAAAAAAAGCAAATAGGAGATGGTAAAAGCATCTTTACATGGTAAAATACGTACACATATGTGCGTGCGTGATGTGATAAATACAAAACGTTCTTACCTCTCTCTCATAGGAACACATGGACAATTCCAAAATCCTTGCCCAGCCTCAGCAGCTTTATCATCATAATGCCTGAAACATCCACAATTCAGACTTTGAGAACTATAGGCTGACAGGAGGTATCCTAACTTTAATTTCAAGTAGTTAGAAGTTTTACTGGAAGTATTGTATACAGACAAAAAACATCTCGTCAAAAAAGAGAGACAGCTACTTACCGGCAAGGGCAAAGGGGTGCACCCAATTGATCTTTATGATCTGCCAATCCCTGTTATAATTGCAATATTAATTCTAGTATGGACATCAAAAAAATGATGTACAAGACCAAAAATAATAAAACTGGTAGGTGAAAAGGAATCAAAGTAACAATCGTGTAAGAGAAACAAACATATTAGCTAAGAAAACACTTGCTTGTTCATGCCTGTCATTACAATTATAACTAAGAAGAAGACATGGTTTTACCATATAGTGAACTTAGATCAACCCGCTACTTGAGTATTTCACATAGTAAATTTATTGAGGTCTACTTGGGAATTTAATAAAGAACACGAGCGGCAAGGCAATTTTAGTTGGAAGAGAAAATAAAGATTTTTTTAATGTATCCTTCCTAGCACACTTTACACATCATATAAGCCTGAAAGGAACATAAACCGAAAAACATACTGCCCAAACATTGGATACATGTTTGTCTTGACACGTTAAAAAGTTGCAAACACCGGTATGTATGAAATACTCAAATGGCATTAAAAATAAAAGCCTCCAAATGCTAAATATCCTGCTCAACATCCTTCAACCGAGAAAGCATAGCACATACTTAAAATTACAGTCCTGGGCTTCAAATCCCCTAGATAAAAGTGTCACCTTACTTCGTATTTGCACTTCAACATTTTAGCCATCTCTACCTCCTAAATGATCAAACCTCATGCAAATACTAGTGATTTTCTAATCAGCATCTTAAGTTTCCCGAATCTTACTTTTCCCCACATATCTCACTCAAAAGACTCAGTCCCATTACCCATTTTGGTCCTTCAATCACAAAACATAAACATAATTGTCACTAAGAAACTTCTTATATGTCCTATTGTATTAGGGTGCGTTTGGAGTAAGGATCCGTGCCATGGTTCGGATCATGGTTCGTGGCTCGCTACAGTGTTTTCTCTCACAAAAAACACACGTAAACCGAGAATGGTACTGAATCATGGTTCTAAATCTATGAACCAAAAGTCCTCTTAACTATCCTGCACACTTCTAACTCATTTTTTATCAAGCATTTACAAATATCGAGTTCTATTGAAATTATTACGCATATTATTATCAGATCTCAAGAACCATGTAAAGGAACATAACATACCAGATCATGGAATTAATCGACAGGGGAAACGCAATGAAGTGTGACAAGTGTGAAGTGTCAGAGAACAGAGAATTTATATCAAAGAAGTAAGAACAAAACTTCAATAAGCCAAAATACCTTTATAACAACAGAAGTGACTCCCTTATCAACACAGAAATACGTTCCCGACCTACGAGCATATTGCTCTGAGAACTTCCTCATTATCTCAACAGACTTCTCTGATGGTTCCACTGCAAGCATTAGACAACGTAGTGTTAACAACCTTAATGGTAAATTTATAGGACAGTATGGTCGCTGAAACAACACGACAAACAGTAGAATGGATCCTCAGCAATTGGCACAGAAGATCAAACATAACACGGCTATTAAAGCCATACCAATCTACTCTATAAGACATCATCCTCTTGTGCTTACAGAGGGTTATTAAATCTACCAAATTTGGTCCCCAAAAAAAAAATGCTAATTTCACTCTGAATTTTTCACTTTAATCCTGACAATCAAAAAGTATGTCCTTCTTCCTCCAGCTTTTTAAGTCATGGCTATAAAATATATATATATATTAGACACACGCGCACACGCACAGAGGATGTATATTTATAGACACAAATATGTTCATAGAGTTTATAAAAGCCCTAAAGAAACTAGATTACAATAAAAAATACTCCAAATCGAACTTCGAACAGAACTGAACGATTATTGAGGACCTAAAAACAATCAGAAAACACAATTTATGTACAATAAGACACAAGCAACCTCAAAATTTCGGGCGAAAACATGAAAACCGAAACAAGTTTGAATCATCATTTGCAATGAAATAAATCAAAATCAAGACAATTCGACGAAAAAGGGGAACCAAAAAAGTTGGAGAAGATTACTGACCTTGGGCTCGAATCACAGAGCGGTGACGAGAGCGAGCGGGAGGGATAACGAAGGAGGAAATGCCGAAGCTGAAGGAGGTTGAAGCTTGGACAGTCATGGCCACCGATTTACTTTCAACTGCAAACGCCACAAAAAAATATCTGTTTTGTGTTTTTATGCGAGCAAGAGAGAAACAGTTATTTTTCTTTTTTTTTCTTTCTTTTTTTAATTTGTTCTTCAGGTGTGTATATATATTTTCCAGTTTTCCTAATTTAGGTTTCGGGATATTTCTCCATTTAAAAGGCGTGCCCGCCACTCGTTGTTACGACATGATCAACGAGGAAGCTACACGAACCAGTCGGTCCACAACCCTATTGAGGCCTGAATTTAGTACGGCCCAATTCCTTTCGTTGGCTTTGGGTCTAGCTGGACCTTGAGAGATAAGTGACCTTTACCTCTAATTTTTATAAATATTTTTTTATCAGTGTAATTATTTAATTAAAAAAATTATAAATTAAGAATAAAAGATAAAAATTTTGACTTATATATTTTTAAAGAGTATTTATTAAGATTATGGGACTTGATGGCATTTTAAGGCCAGCCTATTTATTACTACGTTCAATTTAGGAGATAATTTTAGTTTGGGAGAAAGAGGAAAATAGGCTAAGACTTGAGATGAATTAAAATTAATAAGCTAATAGTTTACATAAGTTAATAAATAGGTCAAATTACTATTTTTTGTCCATAACTTGTCTGGTTATGAACCATAACTTGACAAGTTATTTTCAATTTTTGTCCATAACTTGTATGGCTATGAACCATAACTTGACAAGTTTGTCCATAACTTATCTGGTTATGAACCATAATTTGACAAGTTATGACCTATTAATTTCTATAACTAAAAGTTAGCCTATATACTTTCTTGAGCTTTTCATATTGGCCTATTTCCTACTATTTCCCTTTTAGTTTAGACAATCCTTTTCCTATAAAAAAAAAGAAAAAATTGAAAAAATGGAGAGTTTTAATTACAAAAATGTTTATTTAAGAGAGGTCTTTAATTTGATAATAAATGTTAATATACACATTTTATAATTATCTTAAATGTTCATCTACACATTTTATAATTATTAAGATAATATCATTTCGGAGGTATCTTTTTTCTTATGCATGTGATAATAAATTTAAATATATAACTGATTTTAAATATTGATTGACAAAGAGTGCGATGATATCCCCTAATCAATATCATTTTTAGTTAAATATTATATTAGTCATAAGAGTATTAATCAATAATAAAAGGTAAAAATTCAGAGATAAAAATTCATATTCATACACTTTAAGAGTAAAATCAACAATGTTCTTTTTTCTTTATTTTAAGAATAGTACAATGAATACCATTTTTTTTTTACCAAACGTTGATGCACATCTACGGAGAGAATTAACAAAACATTACGCCTACCAATTACCAACGGGCTACATCACATCACAAGAGCCAAAAGTACAATAAACTTTTGAGACTCTGTTCATATCACCGATTTCAGTTTAGAATTTAAATTTTGTTATAGTAAAACACTCTTAAAAATAATCACATCTAACTTTTTTACTACAGTAAAAACTTCTCACATAAAGTTACATTTTAACTCGAATTAAAAATTTAAATCAACAAACTAAACCGGCATGAATTTGCTTAGGTTAAGTTGGGGCATACACATGGTATGCCCGGGCTTCATTTCAGTAAACCCCTTGAACGATCAACAAGCTTTTGATCCTCCAAAATTTGTTTAAAATTTTCAATACCCATATAAATGACACAGATTTTTGATCTTTTATATTCTTGCATTACTGGTCGTATACGAGTCTACGACTCTACGACATTGCTCTAGTATACTATACTACTTTCTTTTTCCCTCTTTTCCTTTCTAAGAACTTTTATCAGTTATATTGCTAAAAAAAAAAACTTTTATCAGTTACAGTTAACAGCCACGTCCAACTGTATTTAGGCCCCGTTTTTTTCGCCAATTTGAGTTTTGCTGCAGTAAAAAGCTCTCAGAAACAGTCACATTTAATTTTTTTTTACTACAGTAAAAAATTATCACACAACATCACATCTCAACTCAAATTAAAAACTTAAATTAGCGAACCGAACAAACTCATCGTATACATGCCAACTTATGTACGTACTTCAGTATTCGAAAGAAAACTTAAAGAAATAATATTAATAATGACAAACGGAAGTAGCTTTTTTTTTGTTTTTTTGTTTTGTTAGAGGGGATAGCTTATAAACTGCTTATATATTTTATTACTAATATTGACATATAATGATCTAGCTAGCTACAACATTTGAGATTCATATCCTTTCAAATATTTTATATGCATCTGAGATATACACATACTTTAGACGTGGGAAAGGGGAAAAATGACCATGTGTTGGAGACAAATATTGGACATTGAATTCAGCTCCAAACTTATCATCTTTGATAACTTTTGATTACTTTTTTGTTCAACTGACAAATAATTAATAGTATATCTGGGAATATTTGATGCCCACCTTCCAAAAGCATTTATCGTAAAGGGCAACCCTCATGATGACGACGCATTTAAAGTCCATCTCATTCATTTTGCTGAAAAAGGTTGCAAAAAAAAAAAAAAAAAAAAAAAAGTTTGCTCATTTTGGCACTAAATAAATAATGATAATAACAATATTAATTAGTATTTTACACGAGAAAACACAACCAGATTTCACAGCGAGTTTTAACTCTCACACCTTTTTTTCTCCCCTAGTTTTCAAGCTCACGGCAATATGTAGCAACCTATTATACCCAAGAAAGACCCAACAGAAAATAGCTGGTGTTACCAAGTACTGATGTGTTTACTGAAAGTGAAAAACCGAAGTACTTTTCATTACATCAGTTTCTTCTATATTTGTCACATTGATGATGATTTACGGTTTTTTACTTTATATATAATTCAGGAATAACAAAAGCGAATTTCAGTTACAGATCATTCTTAACTAGCTAGAAGTACTACTTTTTTCAGCTGGTTCTGGGGAACTTTACCTGAGTTGCAATTAAGAGATCTTATCATATAAGTAGGACTTTAATTAATTTCTTCAGAGATGATGAGGGGTTAATACATATAACAGAAGGTTTTGATATAGGTTTCCAGAGGAAAAATTTTAATTAACTAATTAACACACAACCCTTAATTTGAAGGAGCTTTTTACCTAGCTACCAGCAAGTATATACACGTTTCTAAACGTTAAATAATCTACTAAAAATCACGTATGTTTAATTGAAAAGATATACAGATCTAACAGTTTAAAATAAAATAAAATTCATTTTCGAAAGGGATGAATTATTAGTATTGGACCTCTTTGTGCAGCTTCCTTGGCTGTAGGTGTACATGAGTGACCACCAGCAACTAACTTCAATAATGCACACGTACATAGATAATTTGAAAATATATGTACATAATAATATATATATATATATATTCCCAGAATCCTCTCCAATCTTATATCTGTACAGCGGGTATCGCAATTAATGATGACAAAGTACCTCTATGTTATATCTGTCTAAGAATTGAAAAGAAATTTCTGAAAAATATTATGAGTACTCGAGAAACCTTGCATGCACATACTTGTTGCATTTATCCTAAAGTTTTGACATCATTACTTATTCCATATGAAAATCGATCTCAAGTACTCGATAGTAATTAGGGCCTGGAGTCTAAGTACTTATAATTCAACAGATCACCAGACCAAAAGAACGAGTTGTCATGATCGTCATGATTATCATCAGTGTATAACGTGTATATACTATACGTATTTGTATATGACTATATATAACAAGTCTTAGGTGTATATATGTACACGGACACCATATATGTGTGTCTAACTGTTTATATGCGTATACACACACACACACACACACACATATATATATATATATATATATCATGAGTATGTACAAGCATGTTTTACCGCAGATAGAAAAGATTTCCAAAGGAGAGAAAAAGTGACGCTTGAAGAATTGAAGCATACATATGAATTTAGAAAAGAGGGAGAGACAGATCTTCTGTGGCGAGCAACTAGCTTGATTCAAAATACATACACATAAATTAAATATCATATATATACTACATCTACATAAGATGTAAGTTTATGTATTGTTTTATGTGCGTCTCTCTAATAATAATAGTACTGATCATTCTAAAGGATTTTCGGATTCAATTTGTAGGTACCCTATATATCTGCACAAACCCTAATATAAATCTTGTAGATCTAGCTCAAAGAAAAGGAAAAAAAAAAACTCCTTCAAACAGAAATACACACACACACACGCATCATTTTCGTTTCAAAAGCACTATTATATATGAATTATATATATAGTCGGTTGAACAGGATAGTCAGATGAACAACACAAACAATACTCGATGAACATTAAAAGCACGAGAAACTGAATAGATGAAAGAAATACCTTACAGAATAGCAACTAAATCAGTTTATAACTTCTTACATACATCTATTTATGTCTATAGATATTTGAAAAACCAAAAAAAGAAGGAAAAAAAAAAAAAGAAAAGGAAAACCCGCAAAACAGCACAGACCCTTGCATGTCCAAATACAAGATCTAAAACATACCAAAATAAAAAGCTTCTAATCTACTGGAAAAGTAGTAGTAGTAGCAGCAGTAACAGTAGTTGAGAAACTGACTTGCTTTTGATCTAGCAAATCATCGGACCACAACGCTTGATTCCCCAAAGAAAAGACCCAGCTTTGGAAACAAAGTCTTCTCAAAAGCTCAAGAAGAAGTACTTATAGAGAAAGAGATTAATAAGAAGAAAGCAGAAGAAGTACTTGAAGAAACAGGCTCCGGATGATGATGATATTGATATATCTCTCTCTGCCTGCAACCAAACACATGTTCATGTTTCTTCTGATGATCATTATAATTGATTTCTCTTTTTCCTTTTTTTTTTTTTTTCGCCTTAGTTGCTGTAATGATGATGCTTTGAGGTTTGTGGGGGGCAGTTGAAGGTGAAAGAAGAGGAAGGAGTGGGAACAATGATGGTGATGGAGAAGGTGAGGAGAGGACATGATGATTGCTCTTTTGCTTTGTGGCGTTGAAAGAAAGGCTGGTTGTTCAATACCATCTAGGTTTTTTTTTTTTTTTTTCTTTCTTTTCCTTTTTGCCCTTATCTCTCTCTCTCTCTCTCTCTCTCTCTCTCTATCTCTTTCTCTCTCTGACATGGTATAGAGAGGGTGATAATGATTCATGAAACCTAAGACTTTTTTGTTTTTGCTAATCTCATGAAACCCGAGACTTGTTAATTTACATTAACATAATAATAATAATAATAATAATAATATACCTTAATATGTACCTTCACACTACACCAAAAGCTAGCGCGTGCATGTGAAATAAAGGTCATCTGTAAAATACTGAATCTGATGATGTCTGCTCTAAATTATTATTTTCTAGTCTCTCCTCCTCCTCCTCCTTCTTCTTATTTATTTATTTATTTTCTTTTTGTTCAAATAATTTATTGTGTTTGATTAGTATATTTGTGTCATAATTTAAATTATAATTCATAATTTATTATAGTATTTTTTCTCATAAAAAATACACATAAATTAAAATGATTTAGAATTACAGAGTTGATCGCGCATGACTAGCTAATTGGCTTTGAGAGAGAACAATATTTGACTAATTTGTGTTAGTGGCATCAGGGCAGCTTGCTCTAGTTTCAGGTATAGCGGGGAGCTTTCAATACTAAAAACATTAATTAGTAGCTTTGTAGGACACTAAATATTATTAGATATACGGATTTATTTTTATCATAGGGAATATCAATGTTTTTATTTATTAATTTTTATGTATAATGTACCTACTAAGCCGAATGATTTTTTGGCTGCATAGATTTGCATTAAATTAATTTTTATGTATAATGTACCCACTATTCCAAAATATAAAAAGGCATTACAAATACTGATCCATACACATAGTTCCTACTATAATAAATACGGCACCACAAATAACCAGTTTTATCAGTAAATTCGAATAAAACTTAAGGGAAAATAGTGTATACCAGACCTTATAAATGGAAATCACCAAAGAGGTACACAAAAAATTAAGCACACATATGCCTTTTTGACAGATCTCGAAACAATCCGATCAACCGATTTTGAGAAATTCATATCACAAAGGCTAGACAATGACCACAGAGACATCTTGCAGACGAGAAAACAAAAATTTAAACTAATCGGGTTAAGAAACACTATTATTACAAACAAAAAAAGGAAAAATCCACAAACTAGAACATCAAAATATTAAAGAGAGCAAGGTCGATCCCTCAAGGTATACACACGTAGGTGATAACCAAGCGTGTACACTACAAGTCGACTCAACTTCTCTTGCAAACCACAACCTCTACAGAGTAGGTCGAGATGAAGACCAACGCATCTAACAACACATTAAGTCCAACGACGATCCAATTCTTATTTTAGATTCGATATGGCAATCATCCTCCTCTGCAGATGGCACGAACTTATAGATAAACTTTAGCGAGCAGAGGCTCGATGATACATCTAGCCTCTAACCATAAAAATTTCTCTCTTTTTCCCATCTCTCCCTCTATGTTTTGCTAGGGCCGGCTGCAGTCAAAGTATTTGGAGACCTTTTTTCAGTTGCCCAAATTTCTATTAGGGTACAAATTTTTTTTTTAGCTAGGGAACAGCAATGTTATTTCTTTATACACGCATATAATCTAGCGCGAGTACATATTAAGCTTTATCTAAAACACAAAACAACATATTTATATTAAAATGGCATTAAAATTCCTCGCCACAAGCACTTCCTCCTATTTGATACAAAAAAAAAAAAAAAAGTTTAAATCAATGATCGACCCAAGTATGTATCGTCTATTTGTCTTTCAGATTATTTGAACATATTCATCTCTCTCTCTCTCTCTTTCCCACTTCAACAACACATTCGTTACTGAGAGTCTGATAGATGAAATTAGCGGAGCAAATCACATCGTGATAACGATGGAATTATCTAGGAGAACTAAAACAAATTCAAAAAGAGAGAGACATTATCTAAAAGCAGACAAATACTACTCAGAAGTATGTTCCCCAACCTCTAGTACTTTCCACAACATAAGCCATTCATTTAACTTGTATTTATGTGGAATTTATTTAAAAAAAAAAAAAGGAAATATTCCAACCAGCAGCTTAATCTGTAATCCCCATCGACTTGTCCACGTCCTTGTTCATACGACAACAAAGTTGTATAACGAAAATTACCACCGAGACACACATGTTGTTGTCTGCCTTTTGTAAATATTGGTGTCTTTCCATTTCAATAAATGAATCACATATATAGATGTTTTTCTTTTTAACACATTATTCATTTTCATCTTCATGATCTTTTTTTTTTTCTTTTTTTTCCTGTACATTTGTCTTCCCCGCGCCCTAATAAATGGACCACTCAGAAACCCTCCCAATGAAATGCACGGCAACTGCTATGAGTAATTGCTTTCAAACTGATGAATTTGGAAGAAGTAAAATCTGTGGAGCACTGCATATTCCTAATTCATTGAATGTTTTTTTTGGTACAACAAGTATACTTGTATTGTCACTTGTCCCCTACCACTATTCCAAGGAAAAAAAAATGTTCCATGTTCCCAATTGATTAAATGTTTTTTTGGTACATCAGTATACTTGTGTTGACCCCTACCACTACTCCACGGAATTTTTTGTTAAAAAAAAAAAAAAAAAAAAAAAAAAAAAAAAAAAAAAAAAAAAAAAAAAACTCCTTCATGTCAGTTCTGGTACTGATAGCTTTCATTAATCAAAGCTTTGAAATTTGCCTGCTATTCAAAGAAAGAAAAAAAGAACATGGATGGTCAAGAAAAGGGTCAAAACGAAAACATAATTATCTCATAAAGAAATTCTGAAAACTACCCTTTAGTGTGTGTGCGTGTGTGTGTATACATATATATATATATATATGTGTGTGTGTGTGTGTGTGTGTGTGTGTGTGTGTGCATATATATTTTTTCCTTGCTTAAATATCATACTCTTTAAAATATTGTTATGTGTTAAGTTAAAGAAAAAAACAAGTTGGCTGAAATTATACGTGGAGAAGGTCTGTATCGCTTAAGACGACTGACAAATACATATAATAGATGTGGTCTTACTGCATGCACGATGTTTCAAAAGCTAAGCGGCCACAGTAGTAATGCAGAGGATCCAATATTTACAAGAGTGATTTAGCTCCACAAGAAGAGCATGATTATGGGATCTTGTGGAATCTCGACTGTTCTAGATAGAATTTGATGGACCCTATATTGCTTGTCATGAAATAAGCAACCAAACCCAGTTTGGACCTCCCATGAATGTTTCCACTTCTGGCCAATCGGAATTCCAAAAGCAAACAATGATTTTCAAAAGGTTTGAACCAAATATGTAAAACGAAAAAGTAACTTTTCTATTGACCTTCGGGGTAGAAAGTAGAAACCGGGAATATATATATATATATATATATATATAGCTTCCCTTATTCTTTCTAGCTACTCGCTACCAAACCTTATCTTTTTACGACTTTAAAACTTTTCTTACTTAAAACAAGTGATTTAGCTCCACAAGAAGAGCATGATTATGGGATCTTGTGGAATCTCGACTGTTCTAGATAGAATTTGATGGACCCTATATTGCTTGTCATGAAATAAGCAACCAAACCCAGTTTGGACCTCCCATGAATGTTTCCACTTCTGGCCAATCGGAATTCCAAAAGCAAACAATGATTTTCAAAAGGTTTGAACCAAATATGTAAAACGAAAAAGTAACTTTTCTATTGACCTTCGGGGTAGAAAGTAGAAACCGGGAATATATATATATATATATATATAGCTTCCCTTATGCTTTCTAGCTACTCGCTACCAAACCTTATCTTTTTACGACTTTAAAACTTTTCTTACTTAAAACAAATACTTAATAAGTCTTGCTAAAAGAGAATATCAGTTTTATATTTTGTCATTTATTTGACCAAAAGATTCAACATCTGAACTTAAAGTTGTGCCATTATTATTTTTTTTCCCCCCCTCCAAGTTTGTGTTTTTTATTTATTTATTTATGATAATGAAAGATGATAGATGGTTTAAACATTCTCTTATCCTTTCCTAGTTGAACGTTTCCGAATTAAGAGTTGCTTCCACTTTTCATTTCATTCTCTTGTCGTCAAGCCTGCAACTTTTCGCATTAAATGCAACTCCTTACAAAAAAAACAGGCTGCAAATGGGACCGAATCTGTAATAACGCAAGAGATTTGCAGACGTGGCAAAGACCAAAGGCTAGAAACAAAGGAATGCAAACCCAATTCCCCATGCAATGCAAAGTCCAATGCGTGACAGCGTTTCCCATCTGCCAATCCCTTCACCTAGTAAATGAATCTTATTAAATTCTACGTTGGAAAATTAGATCAACGGAAAGAGACAAGTTAATTCTTAAAACGAGTATATAATAGAACTATAAACAATGAAGTAATGAATCCCATGCATATGACTAAAATTAACATTTTATTAGCAATTAATAAATAAGTTCCATAAGTTAACTATGGATGTACATAAAATACAATTATTAGGCTACTCGTTTATTTGCTGATATGAAATGTGGTGGATGATTGGTTATGACCATCACTTAAATCTTAACCAAAGATGTAGTTCATTGTATGCTCAGAGGGTTGGTGGTGGTCATAAAAGCAGGAAATCGCCGGCGCATTTATCGCTTCTCCCGGCATAGAATCAGTCAGCAGACAACCTGTATGATCCGATACAATTGAACGACCACAAACAGGGCGTCGACGTTTTCAAAGATTTACCTCCCAGTTCTGTTAGTGTTTGACAGGAGGAACGTCGTCCACGTAATCTTTAACGGCGAACTATGGCCTGTGACAAACTAGGCCGCCTCAACATTCGAAGCAATGCTTTTGTCCCAAGCTTATGTCGTACCTATGGAGTTGAGTCTCCCTTTGGTTGATTCTGTAGCCCACATTCAGTTCTGATGGCATCCAAGAGCTCAGGAGACACAGCGGGGGGCTGACTCTCAAGTTTTCTCCTTGCATCAGTCGTGTTCTTCTTAACCGAGTGGTCAGAACTCTCTCCTGCGCCCCAACCCCGGTAAAGTATAACTTTGCTAGGCTCTTGAGAGACTAGAACTGCACCTGTTGCTTGCTGCACAGAGAGAGAGAGAGAGAGAGGTTTAGCCAGTTTCATTTAGAAATCCATCAGCCCAGAAAAGAGGAACTTGAGTGCATACCTCTAGCATAAAAACCACTTCTTGGACTGAAGTGCCTTTTGCTCTGCCTTTCACATTCACAATAGCAAGAGGATACTTTTGGAAGTGTGCGTTGATTGCTTTTGCAACACCGCTTACAATGTTGTTTCTCCCTAATGAGTAATAGCAGCAACATAAGTACCTTCAAATGATGAGCTCTTATAATGACAAAATTTTGGGGGACTGCGTTAGGGGCAGAAAGGAAGTGGAAAACAAGAAGCTTATACGTGCGAAAGTGCAACAAATTCTGGGGGGAAAATAGTATGAAAATCTTTGCAGGGAGAATGCAGCTACGCCTATAATCTTCACCTATGCTACCTTAAATGAAGCATAGGACACCAATAACTGAGCAAGAACAATTTACCTACTGCAAGGACAGGACGCTTTTTCATCTTGAGAGCTTGCTTCCGTAGAAGTAGCCTCTCTCTATTGGAAAGAATAATAGTTCTAGAGGGCATCTCGTTCAGTCCCTTATCTGCTATAACTGGAACTGATGGTTCCAATCCATTTTTGTCTGATTTAGCTGATGACTCCACTTCCTCCTCATCAGAGACATCGTGCTGAGCGCCAACAGCAGCAGAAGAGTTCATTCCATTGGACTGAAATCCACATAACTCGCATTAAGAAAGCTAAAAGGAAAGAAAAACACAAAGAAAAAGGCACACAGAAATCCTAGATAGGACCATAATTTATCCAGGGAAGATGCGAGGGGCCTGAAGGTTACTTGTGCAACTTTATTTACATTCTGGTTCATATAATTTTCCTAATTCAGCTTTCCGAATCACTACTGTTGATCTGAAGCATTAATGCCATCTATCAAAGTATGGGAGTTAAATGAGCTCCATTATCTCAGCAAAAAGCTTATTTAACCAACTCATCAGGCCATCCCAAATCATTAGAAACAAACATTCGTTAACCTTGGAATTTAAACTAGCAAACTCCTCCAACTATGTTCATTTATTTACCCTACTCAGACATTCCAAACCGTGAAGAGAATAACTGATATACCGCTTACCATCTCTTCATGGGAAGTTGTAGGAAAAGAGAGAGAACCAGATTTGACTTCAGCATCAAGGCTCAAACTTTCAGCTGATTGTATCCCATTCACCTCATCTCGGACCTAAATTATATCAGAACTAGAGTAAACCCAAAACATTAACTGGCTCAAACAGGCATAGTACCAATAAAAGATAAGTGGCTCACCAGGTTACTTGATTCATCAGCCGGCTGCATTTTGTTTCGTTGCTTGTCTTTAACCTGGGTTCAAAAGATTACACACGATTGGCCTCAACTTGCAAGGGGTAACATTGAGAAAGAAAGAAAAACTAGAAAAACTGGCACCAAAAAAACATATGGGTCGAACTCACCAATTGAAGTTTTAAGTCATCTATATTTTTAGTAAGCTTCAAAACATGGAGTTTCAGGGACTGCATAATCAAAACAGGGGAATTAACAACAATTAGTTCAGCAAACATCTTGGGAAAAGTACTGAACGTTCTACCAGGATTATACTTTCTAACATTTCTAGTATCACATTTCCTCTGAACTTGAGGAAAAAGAAAAATGGTGAGAATTAAAAAGAGTTGACATGCACACGCACTAAAATGTGTCAATTTACCTGACGACGCTGTGCCTCAATAGAGCGTTTCATTGCTGCCCTTTTAGTCAGAAGCGTTTGAGGCCTCAAAGAAGCAGGCCGCTCGTAATTTTTTCCACGATAGACAATGATTGCATAACCTTTACTCTCTCTTTCCACTGCCACTAATATCCCACCACTTTCTGCCTCTAGAGTCTGTGCTACTTGGTGAACAGCTTCAATGCTTTTCTCATTAGATATAACCTTTACAAGTTCCCTGTATTTCCAATGAAGATGCATGTTCTCAATTGTTCCATCAAAGACACCCCGTCTACCTGAAAATTTTGAGGAAAATACTTGTCAGGGCCACTTCGGGAAAGGCTAGCAAAATAGTAAATGTCTAATTTACACGTTAAATTAACTATTTACACGTTAAATTAACTATTTAAAAGTTAAAGACAAATGCTCTTAGTTTATAAAACTCTCGCTATGTAACACTAACATTAACTTACCCAGGAGTAGGAAAGGCTTCATTCTCAAACCAATCTTCCTCAGCATATATCTTTCCTCTTTGGTTATGCCCTCTTTATCTATTTCAGGTTGTTGGCGGCTCTCTGCCTTTTCCAACTCCGCTAAAAGTTGCTCTGCTTTTGCTTTCTTTTCTAAGGCCTGTTCAAGAGATTATTTCATCTGTAACACAAAAAAGAGTTGAACAAAAAAGTTGGCCACAAGTCGTAAAACCTCAAAAGACCATACCATAGACAATTTGATACTAGTCCCTTTAACAGACGTTTCAGCAACACTTGGCTTTCTCTGTTCAGATGGGAGCCTCTTTTTGTGGCCATTAATCTCTCTCAATTCACTAGCACCACACACTACACTCCCAAGTTGATCCTGTTCAGTTTTGACTGATGTTTGATGCTCTGTCTTCAGTTTCTTTGCTTGTATTACATACTTCCTCCGTTCTTCTATTGCAGAAGAAACTGCAGACGGCAGAAAATCCTTCCCTCTATAAAGGACAATAAATTCCCTATCTCGAGCAAGAAGAGTTCCTCCAGTCAAACTCTGTAATAAAAACAATATCACATAAGAAGTTTTGCATACGTTTTCCAACTCAATAAAAAAATGAAAAAAAAATATATATATATATATATATATATTGCAATATTAAGTGGCAAGGAAAATAACAGATGAAAAGTTCAGCTACTGTTTTCCAATTACTATGTTATCTTTATGCCATGGTTGACTTGGTAAACATGCATGAGGAGCTCTAAGGCAAAATAAATTAAACATACATATATTTTTAACCAAAGGCAACCTTTAACTCTTCCGCCATCATTTCACTATTAGTGTTCTGCACCCCTCTCTTGATAGCAATCTTGGCGACCTCGCATTTTTCCCATAGTTTGACAACGGAAGAAGCCAATCCTTGAAGATTCCTATTTCGGCCTGCCAAGATAAGAAAATGATTACTAACATGTTGAACACATTAACGCCAGTTATGGCACTGGAAGCCCAACTCACCCAAGGCAAAATGGCATGGCAAGGGCCGAGCAAGCCTCCTTAATGTGGTCATTTCATCATCTGTTAGTTTAGGCAGCACGCCATAGGGAAGAAGGCGAAAGGGTCTTCTGTATCCATGAACAATCGGGCGTAGAAGATCAGCATCCACAGGCTGAGGATCATATCCCCACCAATCAGTAAAACGCGGACCCAGCCCATCTAACAAGCGGTCGGCTTCTTCTGCAAGTTGCGCCTCCCCTGGCAGCTGAAATCGTACTCTATTTGGCAAGCCAACACCTTGTATTAAGCTTGGTTGAACCAATTTATTCCCGGGGGTTGGAGCAACAGTTTCTACTCCATCTATACTAGATGAAGTATCCGTTTTATTCTGTTCTTCATCTCCAACGTCTGGAACCGGTAACGTCGCGGTGTGAGATGCGTCTTTCCCCACAAAAAAGTAAGGGTATTTGTATTTTATCCCTCTATATAACACTATCTTACTTCCAGACCTCCAAACAACCAAGCCTCCGGTTTTTTTCTGCCAAATTAGCTCCATTACTCAAAACTAACACAACTTTATAATCAAAATGTCACCTTTTAAGCTACATTACTCTTCATTTAACTTTGAGCAGCAGTTTGTACAAGTTCGATTGGAAATGCAAGATCAAATAGACCACAACTACGGAATAATTTGTGAAATTCGTAACAAGACATTGATAAATCAATAATTAATTGAGAATTACCTCCAATAAATCATGCGTCCGCTTCATGTTCATCCTACAAATATCTTCACACTCGATCTTGACGACCTCAGACTGCCTCCACCGCTCGTGAATCCCATTCACAATCCCTTCCGTAATCCCGGCCTTCCCGACCTTCACCTTCTTCCTCAACCCAATCCCCAGCGTCCTCAGCCTCCTCAGCTCCTCCGGCGGCAGCCTCAGCTCCGCCAAAGTCGGAACCCTCTCCCTCTCCTCCCTCGCATTCGCCGCCGATTCCTTCCTCTCTTCTCGCCTCTGCCTCCTCACCTCGGTCTTCAACTCCCGAAACCTCTTGATCGCCGTCCCCGAACCCGGCTCCGGAACCGGATTCTCCGGCGAGCTCCAGCTGGCGTCGATCGTGTGGCCGACCCTCTGCTTCGGCAATCGGTGCGGCAACGGAACGAAAATTTCTCCGGCGGAGGACCTCTCCGGCTCCGGACTTGGATTCTCGTCGGTGAATCCGAGGCTGCGGAGCTTCTCGGAGATTCTTTGGATGGCGGACTTAGGAAGCAAGGTTTGAGCGTCGGCGTTGGAGCTTCGGACTGTGAATTTGAGGGGTTTGGGAGTTGTGGAAAATGGTGAAGAGAAGAAGAAGAGAGGAGGAGATCGGTGGGTCAGTAGTTTTGGCGGGAGAGGGGAGGTGGGAAGTTGAGATGGAGGAAGCAACATTTTTTTCAGTTCGTCATGGAGGGAGTTTGGGATTCAAAGATAAGGAAGGAGTCCTTTGTATGATCTTTTCGCTTTCAAGCAGACGAGTCTGTTTACATTTAACGAATGAACAAACGACATAAAAAATGATGTCAGTTCTGTCAAACGACCTTTATTTACTAAGACTATCTTCAACGCAAAGGTTAATGCCTTGCCTACTGCATATTTAACATCAAAAACTATAATGGTGATATGTTGCGTTCCTATGCATAATATTAGTTTAAATGTTAAAATATTTTTGTAATCATTGAATTTTAAAAATTTTAAAGGTAAATTTCTAATATTAAAATAATTAGAAAGATAAATATTAAGATAATTAATTAAAAAAGTAAATGTATCAACTAATAGCACTCAAATGGTAAATTTATCATATGTTTTACTTATTGTAAATCAAGTACAATCAAATATAACATATGACAAATTTATCACAATAAATAACATTGCAATAGAAAAAAATTTTTACACTCAAAATATTAAATTTGTAATTGATACAAGTATTGCATTGGAGATGTTGTAATACTCAGCCTATTTGCGAGTGATCATTTGATTAATGATATTTTCGTCTTGACATCTAAAGAGTTGTCAAATGGGCCAAGCCGTCCATGGACAGCCCGGCCCAGCTCGTAATAGTGCCAGATTCGGCAAGCCCGATATGGTAATGTTACAGGTCGTGCCAGCCCGGCACATTTGATGGGCTAGGGCTGGGCCACGGCTTCTCGGCCCGCGGCCCGGCCCAAGCCCCCGAAACGGTCTGCCAAAAAACCCTCCAGCCAGTGAGGATTGTGACCGTTGGGCCCGCGAAGGACCCAACTGTCACAATTTGAAAAAAAATCCCCTATAAATACCCCTTAATCTCACACAATAATTCACTCTCAACTTCTCATCTTACTCTTATTCTATCTCTCATCTTGTTTTTTGATTTTGATTCTACGCTTTTATCTCGCGATCACTCATTTTCTTGCTCTTTCATTTACAAAGTTTAAGTTCAATCAATTTCTAAGAAAATGGCCGCATCAAACTTCTTTGATTTCACTACTCACCCTGAGCTTAGTGATGAGTTATTTTCGAGGATGAAATGATGGCTCAGAACCCCACTCCCACTGAACCAGAAAATGCTCCGGTAGATAATGTTTCAGTGCACAACGAGACAATCTCTAGTTGACAATTTTAGGTCTTTTAATGCTACTGTATCTTGTACTTCTGATCTATGGGAGGGGTGCAATAAAATTAGATATTTATACATCACGGCACATTATGTTGATGATGAAAGGATATTACAAAAGAGAATAATAGGTTTTTATTTATGCTCATATCGTCACAACGCAAATGCTATTTTTGAAACAATAATGGAAATTTTTGGGTTTTATGAGATAAAAGATAAAGTTTAAACTATTACTTTTGATAATGTGTCAGCTAACACGGCTGCAATTAACATGTTTAAACGTAATTTGAAACCAGCGTTTGGAAGGGAAATTTTTCATCAACGGTGTGCGTGTCACATAATCAATTTAGTAGTTCAGGCAGGAATTGAACATATTTCAGCTAATCTAACAAATATTAGAGAATCTTTATCCTTCATATCTAGTTCTGGAGCTCGGCTCTAAGAATTCAAACAATATTGCAGGAACAGTCGGATGTGCCTAAGAAGGTTCCCAACTGACGTAAGACATAGGTGGAATTCCACCTATTTAATGTTAAAGGCTGCACTTTCGTATCAACAGCTCATTACAACGTGTATAAACAGTAAGAATTATCAGCTTTTAATTTTTGATACAGATTAGCAGATTGGTAAGTATTTTTTAAAATTTCTAGAATTTTTCTACAATGCTACTGAAGTACTTTCCAGAGTTTATTATCCTACTGCACATTTAGCTTTATATCAACTATTTAATATTTCAGAAACATTTACTTATTATAGGGATATTGAACTTTTTAGAAACATAGTTAAGCTAATGGAAACTAAATTTAAAAGTTATTGGTCAGATTGTCTTATGTTATATGCATTAGCAACCATTTTAAATCCTTGGTGCGAAATAGATGGGACTGAATCTTTGATGATTGCTACAACATAAAATTTAGGTAT